AGAATTTTTAAACGCTTCCGCACCAGTAAAAAAGAAACCAAACCAGACAAAAAGACTAGACAGATAATAGGAGAAAGAGGATGACGGGAAATATAGAAATCAGCAAAAGCTAAAAATAAAAGAGAAATGTTGAATAACTACTTCCTCCGTGTAAAATTTTCTAGGAGTCATTACGTTTGGTGTTTGGCTATTTTTTGTTTTCGCTGTTAAGTGTGAGCTGCTTTATTCGAATGCTAATTAATATCTAGCTTCATTTGTTGTAATATTATATAGCATTTAACAAAGAAGACTGACTTCTAAAACTATGTTGGGGTCAAGCATGATGAACAATTGAAACCAAGAATGGCCATTACTGTGTTTTTTTATAATAGTGTTAGTGTTAGACCAAGAAAAGTAACTTCTAAAACCCCGTGGACCCATTATAATAAAAAAATTAAAACCAATTAAGGAGCACATGCCTCAAGGTTTCTGAGGTGTGTGCTATGAGGCGTAAGCCTCAATCACGAGGCTTACACCATGAAAAAGATTTTTCAAAGTGTGCCTCGAGGCGTTTTCCTACTGCCTCAAGCTGAGGTGTGAACCTCAAGCGAATTTTTTATGCACTGTAGAGAAGAGAGCAAGCGAAGCAAGCATGCCCTAACTTTCTAAAACCATTTTTTGAGCCTCACATGAGGCCTTCATTAAGCACCTAGAAAGTTACGCCTCGAGTGCCATTTGCTGCATCCCAAAGCATAAACTTCCGAGCAGTCGAGGTTTGTGATCAAGTCTTTCTCTTGTTTGGGCTTTTTATTAGTGCTTTTAGCATGCTCTAGCCTCTTATCTTTTTCTGGGTCACAACTATCCCTCGAAAAGAATTTTTAGGAAAGAAGGGCTTGAATTAAAGAAGTTGGCATCCATGATAACATAGAAATTTTGGAAATGTGGACAATTACATTTGTACCCTTTTGGGAGGGAGAATATTAGAGAAAAACACATTTAATGACTAAGAAAGTTAATTCTTGTTAGTTTGATGGACATGGACAAATGCAATACAACCAACCAATTTAGGTGGCATTGAAGTAAATGTTTTGGTTAGAGGGTAACTTTTCAAAATTGTGCTGAATGAAGTTTGAAATTTAGTTCGCTAGTAGGCATCCTATTGATCAAGTATGTAATAGTGAGAACAATATCCCAAAAAAATGTTATAGGTACCCTTTTGTAAATATAAGAGACCGTGCAGCTTCTAATATGTATTTATTTTCCTCTCTGTAATACCTAATCCCGTTCTATTGAGGAGAATTTACACATAAAGATTTGTGGATAATGTTAATCTCAACCAGATAATTTCCTAGATTTGAATTAAAGTATTTTCGGACCGTGCAGCTTCTAATATGTATTTATTTTCCTCTCTGTAATACCTAATCCCGTTCTATTGAGGAGAATTTACACATAAAGATTTGTGGATAATGTTAATCTCAACCAGATAATTTCCTAGATTTGAATTAAAGTATTTTCTTCCACTAATATTCCAAGAATTT